CACGGGAGCGGCACAGACACAACGAGCAGCCTTGAACTCTTCCCCCGTGCGTGGACTGTGGGCTCCAACTGGGCTGCCAGGTGGACGAGGCCGGGCGCCCGATCGGCCAGCCGCCGCTGCACATCCACCATGCCTTTCTCAACCTCGAGAGCAGCGGCAGCCGGCACCACACCACCGACACGCGCGCCTGCCTCCTGCTCGGCCGGCGCTGCCCTGGAGGGGCGGCGATGTTTGCTGGTGCGGCCGACTTCGAGCAGCTGCAGCGCGTCTTCTCGATGCGCCTCACCGTCGAGGAGCCTCTGAACGCGCGCGCCATGGTCAATGACGCCCGGCCGCGCGGGTCGGCGCCAATGCGGTGGTACGTCCAGCTGTCGCTACGCACGTCCCCCGGCCGCTGCGAGGCGCGAATATCTCCCCACATCTCCCGTATCTCCCCCATATCTCCCCATATCTCGCAGCCGCTCGACGTCCTCGTCTCTAGACACGGAACATCTCCCCACATCTCCCGTATCTCCCCCATATCTCCCCATAGGACGCGCACTCCGTCGTGTCGGTCTTCCACCCCGGGCTGCTCTCCAAGTTCACCACGCTGCAGGTGCCCGCATGCGGACACGCACGTCCCACCCGCAGCACACACACTCAGGGGCGAGGGACGGCAGCACAACTCCTCGCCGCGGGGCCAGCACGCGCGCGTGGCAATCTCCCCATATCTCCCCATATCTCCCCATATCACCGCGCCGCGGGGCCAGCACGCGCGCGTGGCAAGCCGGCCGGCTGGCACCGACACCCTCCCGGACCTCCCCATATCTCCCCATATCTCCCCATATCACCGGCGGACTTCGACCGACACCCGCCCGGATCTCCCCATATCTCCCCATATCACCAGAGGGGCTTCGACCGACACACCGCCCGGACCGGTGACACTAAATGGCAGCGGAGTTGCGCGTGTCCAGCATGTCAGGTGCGAGATATGGTGAGATATGGGGAGGTGTGGGGAGAGATGGGGAGAGATGGGGAGAGATGGGGAGAGATGGCGTCTACTACAGGTGCCCGCCACCGAGGACTCCTTCTACTACTACACCTTCCGCCTCCCCTTTTCGGGCTCGCTGCTGCCCCCCGGCAGGGAGCGCGAGGCGCCGCCGCCCATGCTGCACACGCACCCCGGCCTTCATTGTAGCTCATTCTAGGTCTTCGTCTTCTTCTTCTGAGTTCGTAGGCGCCGTCGATGCTGCACACGCACCCGGCCTTTCTTCAGCGTGTCTTCCTTCTCAACGGCTCGCCGTCCTAGAAGCGGAGTACCTCCCCATATCTCCACATATCTCCCCATATCTCCCCACATCTCCCCATATCTCCCCATATCTCGCGCCTAGAAGCGGAGTACGCACTCTTGTCTCCCAACCAGCGCCCGAGAGGACACACAGACTCAGCTGCACTCGGCCGTAGCCCGCGATCTTCCCTGCATTCGCCTCCCTCGTATCCACGCGGTGCCCTTGAGTACACCGCGCACAGCCGCCCCGAGGCTGGCGTATGCGAAGCGAAGGCACCCCGTCGCAGCTCGCCCTCCCCGCGCTGCCCCCGTTTTGCTCGTGGCTCGGAATCGGCGGCCGCGACTGCACGCTGCCGCCCACCGCCGCCGCGGCCACCTCCAACGCGCGACTCGCTGCGGCGGCGGAGCGGCGCTTCCAGCCGTGCCGCCAGCGGCCGCGCCCGTCTGCCATGCCGCGCGTGGGCGAGCTCGCTTGCGACGCGTGGTCCTTTGAGCGCGGGGACGCGGTCACGCTGCTCGCCCTCTTCGGGCCAGGCAACACGAGCGGGTGGAGGGGCATGGCGGCGTGGGCGCCGCCGGGGTGTGAACGGCGTCTCTTCACAGCGGCAGCCGTGAACAGGTGGAGGGGCATGGCGGCGTGGGCGCCGCCGGGGTGTGAACGGCGTCTCGTCACAGCGGCAGCCGTGAACAGGTGGAGGGGCATGGCGGCGTGGGCGCCGCCGTCGCTGCTCCACGAGGCCAAGGCGGCGGAGGCGGACTTTTTGCGCAAGGGGGGGCGGGACGGGTTTGAGCGGGGGGGGTCCGACTACCTAGAAGCGGAACACGCAGTCTTGTTTTCCAACCAGCGCTCGAGAGGGCACGCACTCCGCTGTACTCGGCCGCATTCCGCTGTGTGCCCTGTATTCGCCTCCGTTGTATTCACGCGGTGCTCTGAATACGCTGCACACAATACCGTCCTCCCGCCCTGAGGTTGGCGTCTTCAGCACGTAGGCTCTACTACCCCAGCCACGTCACCGTCTACCTGCGCGCGCGCGCCGCCGACGGCAGATCGCACTACCCCTTCCTCTGGGCGGGGCCCGACGGCGGCTGTGGCGAATTGTGTGAACGGCGTCGCTTCACAGCGGCAGCTGTGCGCAGGCGGGCCCCGACGACGGCGCCTTCGAGACAACCTTTTGGGCGCCGTCCGACGCGCTCGCGCTCGCGCTGCTCCCGTTCGCCCCGACCGGCGCCTTCCGCCTCCTCTCCTCGCGGCGCCTCTCGCTCACGCCGGCACTCGTCGCCCTCGTCGCCCTCGCCGCCGCTCTCGCCGCCGCCCTCGCCGCCCTCGCCGCCGCCACTCCGCGCGTGCGGGCGTTCGCTCGGCGGGGGAGGGGCGGCGAGGGCGAGGTGCGCTTCTCCTTCTACCGCCCCTCCTCCTGGGCGGGAGGGCTGACCCACCCGCACTGGAGGGACCGCAAGAGCCTGCAGTAAGGCCCGAGGGGCGAGGGCGGTGGGGGCCCACCGAGGTGCGAGGTCACAACACTGAGAAGTGTAAGTGGCGCGCGTTTGCGGTGGCAGAGCGCTCCCTGTAGCTGTACGTAATAGCTAACTGTTAGAACTGTGCGTGATGCGGCGTGAGTGTTACTGGCGGCGCGACCCTTGGGGGGGCGCTTGCGGCCCTGGAAGGGCGTTTCCGGGCGTTTTCAGGTGGGTTTCCCCCCAGCGCCCAGGCATGACTTTCGTCTAAGGTTCCTATTTGTTTGTTTGGGGGATGGAAAGATGTGATGTGAAGGAGAGTGAAAACAGAAAAGGTTGTGAACATCCACGCACGCACGCACGCACGCACACACGCACACACGCACACACACACACACACACACACACACACATGACTCGTTGGATCGATAGCTAGGGTTGGCGCCCTTTGATGTTCGCGGCCGAAAATTGCCGTGCCGGCGTGCCGTGCTCCACCTCGCCCTCCCGAATTCCCGATCGCCCTAGTTGGGGTCCTCGCCGCCCGAGATCGCCCGTCCTCGCTCGAGATCACCCGCGGTAAGCCCAGTCGTCGAGATCCCCCGTCCTCCCATCAAGGGCCCCTACATTACCCTGGGAGGTTTCCATCTTCTGTGGGAAGGCTGGGGCGCGGATGACCGGCTGCGAGCCATCGGCGGAGTAGGGGCACGTCATAGTGTACACCAGCAAATCTCGGGTCCCTCCAATTCGCACGCTCGTGCGATTGAACACCATGCAGATCTCGTTCTCGGTTTGCTCGCAGTGGAGGTAAGGAAACTCCACACCGGGGTGTGGCATCTCAGAAGACAGGTACTCCTCAACATTTGACTTGAACTCCTCTTCGATCTGTTCTTGGCTCAGGCACGTTCCGTTGCAGAATGACTTGGGGCATGCGAACAAGCAGTAGTTGCGGAACGGCTGCGAAGGGCTCCCGCCGCCAGAGTTGCACGTGTACCAACCGTCTGCGATCGTGCTCGGGACGCGTGCTCCTGGGTCCGACGCGGAGATGAACTTGCCGTCCGCCCGTGGCAGGGAGGACCAAGTGCACGACGACTGCAGGCGGCGGCGGCCGCCCTCGTGCGAATGGTTGTGGCAGCAGGGCAGGTCGGGGTGATCTGCGCAGGTGCTGCAGATGGCCGCCGTGGCCGCCGGCGGCAAGTGGTCGCCTTTGTCGGAGGGGGCGGTGTCCTGGGCCAGGTGCCCGGACGTCGCCTCCGCCGGAAGGCTGCACGTCACGGGGCAGGCCATCTTCACTTCTTCGACGCACGCCTCGTCGCACGCTGCGTTGGCCGAGTCGCAGATGCCAAAGCCTTTCGCTTGCTCGCACGTCGGGACGAAGCCGGCCTCGCACGGCGCCAGAGCCGGGGCGAAGGTTGGCTTGCGCGCCCTTGGAGTGATGTTCGTCAGGGCGGTGACGGCGAAGGCAAACATCGAAGAGGGGGGGTCTGAGGCTCGGTAACTAGCAGATACTGTGTTCTCGAGGTTCTCGAGGTGGATATCCTTAGGCCGCGTTGGGTAGCGAGGATTGGTGTAACCCGAGCCACGGAGGCGTGTTTTCTGGCGGCCGACCGTCAGTGCACGGAGTTGCCACTTCTCCGACTGCCCCGGCTAGTTCCCGAGGTCGTCGGGTGTGACCCCTTACTGTGTGTGTGTGTGTGTGTGTGTGTGTGTTGGCCTGTCCGAGGGTTTCCTCTCGCACCCTACCTGGTTTCCTTTCCGTGTTTCCTGCTCGTTTCCCTACAACACCCTCTAGTTTCCTCGGGAAACCCCGGGGAAACTCCGTGGAATTCGTCATTTTGGGGGGGCTCTGAGCCGTGTCTGAGGCTGTTTTGGGGCCAAAATCGGCAAAATACCGGGTATTTTGCGGGTATACCTGGAAAACCCCGGTATACCTGGAAAATACCTGGGTATCGTGCCGATTTCCTCAATTTTGCCCCAGATTTTGCCCCAGACCAGCTCTCAGACTCAGGGAAACTCGCGAGTTTCCCGAGAGCCTCTGCCTTGCGCGCGCCCGCCCTTCGCCGCCCCGCACAACCACACACCCCACACGCACATACCAGGCAAATTAGGCGTGGTGTGCAAGTTTTTTATTTGAGAGCGCCTTCGTTGTTAATAGTACAAACCCAATCCTTGCTAGCGGTCCTTCGTTGCAGTCGCACACACTCACACGCCACGCCGCACCGCGCGCCCGCCTATGGCCGACAGTTTCTTATTTACCGTGCACTACGGCGTCGGCGTGAAGCAAAGGCTGGATGGCCTACTGTTCATCAAACCAGTTCAACTCGGCATTTGTGCTCGTGCTCTTTGGCGCCGTCCTTCTGCTCTCCAGTCTCGACGTGCAGCCCGCACGCGTCGCCGACGTGCGGTGGACGCGCAGCGATGACGGGCGCCGGCCGGCCGCTGTGAGCGTTCACGCAGGAGATCGTCGACGCGCAGGGGGGACTTCGGAGGTGCCGCGAGCGGAGGACGCGCGGCTGAGGGCCAGCCTTCCAGCTAACCGTCCCGCCGTCGGCACATGCGAGTCGCTCGAGTGCGCGGCGCGGCTTGGGGTGAGCGAGCCGTCGTGGGTGGACCTCACCTTCCAGCCACGGATCGACTGGAGGGGCGGCGGCGTGCGAGGTGACTGTGTCGCCGGTGAGCTCGAGTACATCATGCCCAAGTACTGCTCTCCCCGCGCCAAGAGGGCGGGCGGGTGGCCTTCTGAGGCGCGGCTGCGCGAGGCGGACGTGCACGCGAGCGGGCTGCCGCAGGCGGGAGAGATGGGGAGAGATGGAGAGACATGGGGAGAGATGGGGAGAGAGATGGGGAGGGGTGATGAGAGCTGGACGTGCACGCGAGACGGGCCGCGGAGACGAGACGAGATGGCCCGAGAGATGACCCGAGATGCCCCGAGATGCCCCGAGATGCCCCGAGATGACCCGAGATGACAGGGAGGGCAGCCGGGAGCAACAGCCGCGCAGCAAACGAGCACCATAAATTGTGCACGCCTTCCTGCTGCGCCTCTCTCTCTGAGGAAAACTCCTGGCCTGCCGCAGGCGGGCCTGGGCGAGCTGGCTGCGCTGCTGGGCGGCAAGAGCGCTGCTCGTGGTGCGAGACTCGGTGATGGAGCAGGTTTGACCAGAAGAAGACTGTGACAACCCTAGGCAAGACGCTGCTCGTGATGGGCGACTCGGTGATGGAGCAGTTTTACAACACGCTGCAGTGCCTCGCGGCGAAAGAGTCGCTCAAGGTGCGAGATAGGGGGAGATATGGGGAGATATGGGGAGATACGGGGAGATAGGGGGAGAGATGCAGTGCCTCGCGGCGAAAGAGTCGCTCAAGGTGCGAGATAGGGGGAGATACGGGGAGATACGCCCCCCCTCCCTGGAAGCGATGATTGAGTGCGCCTGCTCCAAGCGACCGCCACTGTGCCACACCGGAGTCCGCTTCCCCCCCCCCTCGCTCAAGGTGCGAGATATGGGGAGATATGGGGAGATATGGGGAGGTGTGCCACACCGGAGGCCGTCCGCTCCCCCTCCTCACTCATGGTGCCCCACTCGACCCAATTAGTTATTAATTAACTGTTAATTAAATGTTAATTAACATCGAGGCGCCCCACTCGGCCTCGCACGAGTCCTTCCTCCCCATATCTCCCCATATCTCCCCATATCTCCCCATATCTCCCCTCAAGGTGCCCCACTCGGCCTCGCACGAGTCCTTCCTGCTCGCGACCAAGCCCCTCTGGAACAGAGGCAAGCGGAAGAAGCCGCCCAAGCTGCCCGTCGAGGTGGCCAGCGGGATGCGGATGACGTATGCTGCTGTGAACAGCGTCTCCTCACACCTCTAGCTGTGAACAGGTGGCCAGCGGGATGCGGATGACGTATGCTGCTGTGAACAGCGTCTCCTCACACCTCTAGCTGTGAACAGGTGGCCAGCGGGATGCGGATGATGTATGCGCGCGTGACGACGATGCAGCCGGACGAGGTCGAGGCGGCAATTGGCTCGGCCGACGTTGTGCTCCTCAACTGGGGACTTCACTACCAGGTGGACACACACACACACGCACGCACGCACGCACGCACGCACGCACGCACGCACGCACGCACGCGCACCCCGCCCACCCACGCGCGCGCGCACCGGGCCTTGCACCTTTAGTGCCGCGGGGCTCCTGTCGTCTAGACGTGGAGTCGGAGGGCTGCCCTGCCCTTCACCACCTCGTGTGTGTGGAGAAGTGTACCTAGCTTACCTCACCTTACCTACCAGGAGATGGACGGCTACCGCACGGACCTGCACCACTCGATGGCACGCCTCGAGGCCTTCGCGGCGGAGCCGGGCCGGGCGGCGCTCTTCCAGGAGACGGGCGCGCAGCACTTCAAATCGTCAGACCGGCGCGGCTATGCCACCGGCGAGTGGGAGCAGCGCGACAAGAGCAGCGACAAGCTCTGCTCGTGCCAGCGGACGGAGGACTTCAACGTCAACACACGCAACCGCGTGCTGCATGAGGCGAGCGAGATGCAGCCGAGATTATGCAGCCGAGATTATGCAGCCGAGATGCAGCCGAGATGCAGCCGAGATGCAGCCGAGATGCAGCCGAGATGCAGCCGAGATGCAGCCGAGATGCAGCCGAGATGCAGCCGAGATGCAGCCGAGATGCAGCCGAGGTGTTAGCGCCGAGAAGCAGCGCCGAGAAGTAGCGCAACCGCACGAGTCAGATAGATTGTGTGCAGCCCCCCCCCCC